GCCCCTCTTCCACCTCCACTGAGGTAGTATTTGGCCCTTCTGTGGGGAGAGAGGGGAAGCTGCTACATGGTTGTCCTTCTTGCCCAACCAAATTGGAGACAAGGCCAGAGGTTTAAATGTGTGAACTCCCTGAGCCAGACAGGGCTGGATGTTATAAGGAGGTAGGTTTCTATGTAATATGTACATTAAAGCTTGTGTTTGAAATCTTCCAAATTCAGACCAGCTACTTTGGGAGATAATACGCTCTCTGTCTCTGGGAGAGTTCAAACAAAGGCTGGAAGATTCCTTAGTGGGGTTCATTCATTCACTCATTCATCCATCTTATCTTCCATTCAGTATTTTTTCATCACTTTATGCCAGGTGCTAGACTAGTTGATTCAATCATGAATGAGATAGAAAAAGCCCTTGGCCTCATGGCACTGTGATGGGGAAATACTGAGGGCAGGAGCAGGGTGGAGGGGGCATGATCTTGACCTGGCCATCAGAGAAGGCTTCCTGGAGGAAGTCACCTTTGAAGTTGAAGGCCTGATTGAAGAGGTCATAGGCTTGAGAACAAAAGTTCCGGAAAGATGGCAGTGCCCATAACTCAGTGGGTAGGGTGCCAGCCACATACACCCAGGCTGGCGGATTTGAACCCAGCCTGGGTCTATTAACAATGACAACTGCAACAAAAAATAGCTGGGCATGGTAGTGGGTGCCTATAGTACCAGCTATGTAGCAGGCTGAAGCAAGAGAATCATTTAAACCCAAGAGTTGGAGGTTGTTGTGAGCTGTGACGCACTCTACCCAGGGTGACAGCTTGAGACTCTGTCTCAAAAAAAAAAGTTCCAGAAAGAGGAGGTAGCCTGTGTGAAGGGCCAGAAAGAGCCTGCAGCCATGTGAGGGGCTTTGCACTTTATCTCAAAGCCACAAGGAACTGATGGAGTGTTGTAAATGAGGCAATGACATGGTTGGATGTGTGTCTCAGCTGGATTCCTCACAGGCAGACCCTGAGATAGGGATCCGAGGGGAGATGGTATCTGTGAGAGATGATTCCAGAAAATGCCAGTAGGGATGTGGGGAAGTGAGACAGGAAAGGGAGGCTGCCAAGAAATTGTGGGCATACAGGTCCCACTGCGGGCAAACGGGGCTAACGCTTGCTGGAGAACTCTGGGAGCAGGGTGACACTATTCCCCTGACCTCCTGATAGGGCAGGAAGAGAGGGTCACAGAATGAGCCTCAGGCAGTCTGTAGGCAGAGTGGGAGCGGGCCCTCAGGGGACGTGGGCAGGGTGCTGTAAGGAGGAGGGCACTTGAGGGTGTGCGGGAGTCTGGAGACCAGAGAGGAGGCCTCAGGCAGAATGGTCCAAGCAGATGAAGACGTTGGCAGCCAGGCTGGAGAGGCTGTGGTTCTGAGAAGGGGACAGATGTCAGCATGTGGAATGGCTTGGTGACAGGTTTGAAGACTGGAGTGATTGGTGAGCAAGAGGAACAATAGCTTCTCAAAGCTGCAGCGGCCCTCCCTCCCCAGGGGGGCTCCCCCACCCCCACCCCCAGATTGTCCTCTGTTCAAACAGCCAGGGATGCTGGGCTCACTGTCGCAGCTTGTAGATAGCCATCAGAGATGTTGATGTAGCCCCAGATACACGAGGTATTCCGATAGGGAGATGTTCGTATACGGAGATGAAGATGCCATGGCAACTGCTTAAAAATCAAAAGCCAGGCTCGGCGCCTGTGGCTCAAGCGGCTAAGG